AGCACCTTTCTACTTTAAATAATTATATACGGTACGTCTGTACTCTTAATTTACGAAACGTGCACGCTGATCGAATATAATAGAAAGTATATCCGACAGTTATTAATCCCTTTTTACTAATAAAACCATTAACAAGACTATTATAGTGATGTAACCTCCCATTTAAATCGTAACAAACTGATACGTATACTTATAACAAAGTGTGGTTAAGATTTGAATACTGTGCTAACGATATAGGCCCAATATAATCGATGCTAACATCTATTATGAAATGAGTAATCCCAATTCGAATGATATTACTTCGGAATTTAAATCCTATTACTTTTTTTGTAACGGTTACTTAGAATTGAGTATGGAATTTGAACTTTACATTAGAATCCGTCACGAATTTGTAACAAAGCAACTATTGTATGACGTATATTGAATTTGGAACAAATTACATGGACTTTTAAGTCCGTTGTTTTTTTTTACATAAGATTAACAAGATAAGTGAATGAGGAGGATGTAAAAGGGGTACGTAAGAATCTTATTAGATGGCGATCTGTACTTCGTAACGCGTGTATTCGTGTATCTTAACCACTTATGTATTGAATCCTCATTTTATCGAATAGTGCCTTAATTTTTTTGATATTTTTAATGCAGAAATTCTTGCAACTCCACTGAAATGTATAATTGAACGTTGATCGTCTTCATAATATCAGTTCTAGATAACGTACCGTAGGAAACCGTCTCATGATAGAGGGTATGGTTTGCGCGGATGCTATTATAAAAATATTTTATAAAACCTGTGATTTGTGGAGTAGTGACTGCGACATATAATAGTGTTGAGCGATATTCGATACCGTGAAAGCTGTTGCAATGAGTGGTTGTGTCAGATTGTCCTAGGGCGTGGTTTCCTTGATGTAAGCAGTAAGACCGACGGCCAGTGGACCGGCACGAAACTAGAGCACTGCGAGCTACACAAACGCTTAGGCTACGTGCAGATGTTAATAGTAATATGGTGTGTTCGAAACTTAATTAAAGCAATATTGGGGTATCAAGAGTATGTGCACCTGTTCCTTATTTTCTGCGCCTTGGGAGCCTTCTCAGAGCGTTAAGTATCTTACTTTATTAATCAAGGTAAGATTGAAAGGACATGTGTTAGATATATGTTACTATTGACATGGGTAAAAAGCTGTTGGTTGATTTATCGACCCAATCAAGCCGAAAAATTGTTTCACATATTCGGTTAGTTTCGGTTGGTGAGTTAGGTCAATTACATTATTTTAGCGGATTAGCATTTTTGCGACTAGAAACAATAGGCGGTAAAGCGCTGCTGATTGACCTATTTTAATATTTAACACAATCATTGAAGATTAACATTTTATGCAATTTAAATTTTCAAATAAATTGCGTTCATTCTAGAAGCTAAATATTATTACAAAGGTTTTGCTGGCCGCCATATTTTTAGTTTTACGCAGTCATATCTCACGTCGAGTCTAGACATCTACTTATATGTAAGAACCGGTATAATATCGTCGCAAAGAATGTTTGACAGATGTTATGTATTCTTAATGGTTAAACCGGAACTAGAATAAGGCGTACCTACAACCATTATGTATATTCATAGAATGAGAAGCTTTGTAATAGCTGCCATTTGACGTGTTGTAATCTGATCATTAATTAAATTTGCAAGGGTATGGGTCTTGTATGCATAGGTACTATATACTTAGCACTATAGCGTAAGGTACTTTAGTAAAATGGTACCATTTGCGTAATACCATGAAATGTAACATATTTTCGAGTATTTAGTATGCTTGTAGCAGTTGCTGTTATTTCCTTTTACGACAATATACGGCCTAAATGCGAACACCCCCCGAGCTATACGCAAACTACGCAAAAGTTTTATCGTCGATAAAGTGCAGAACAGTGGCACAATATTGCACTTTAACGTTGAAAATAAAGTATGCAAGCGTTAAGGGGAGGTGTTATGCTATTTGAAGTAGTTATAAAGATTTAAGCATACATAGGGATATAGGGAGAGAAAAGCGATTTTGTGTTTTATGCAATTCGATTAAGAGCAACGTCTAGGTCTCTTTTGTATCACATCTTATAATCTGCCTTTGAATACCCACCACTGAGTAAAAGGCCTCTTCTCAAACGGTTTTGAGCATTAATCAACACGCTTGTGCGTGTTGAATTAGCAATTTAAAAGTTATTATTAGGAATTATAAGTCCAGGTTTATTCACGATGTTTTCCTTCACTGTTTGCCGATGGTATCTAAATAAACTGAAAACGTGCATATAACTCGAAACAACTCACATTAGTATCAAATTTTCGAATTTCAAACCCGCCTTCTCATGCGTAAGAAGTGGGTTATACCTCAACCTCCAAGCGACCACGAGTTTTTAAAATATTTATTTTGTATGTTCCTTAATTTCCTTTCCACTCACAGGACCATAGTGTCCCGCACTTTTGGAAGGCGTACGAGGGGCCGAAGCTAACTGGCAGAGGCCTTTTGAAAAACTTTAATATAAGTGAAATGGGACATCAGCCGGAAATTATCCCTGTATGCACTATGAAACTGCATCCAAGGACAATTCCCGGTTAATGAAGGACTGTTGTAAAGTGTGGTAAAAATGATAGGGTTATAGGTATGGGTTGCTATGGATTGGTGAAAAATATTTATTTATTATTAAAGTGACGAAATTCGACAATAAATCACTAAGTCAGGTAGCTAGAAAGTTTGCTATGGATTGCAGCGATTCTGTAAAGCTGCATCATATATCTTTCGTAAAACAGGAAGCATATACACCATAATATTACGCAAGCCGAGAATGATATATTACGAGAACTTTTATAAAAACAATTGAAGCAAATTGCTGATTGTTTATCTATACTTATATCGTGAGTACAATTAAAGAAACAATCTGTTGAAAAGATATAATAGCTTTTATTATTCCTAAACGCAGTTGAGATCATAAGTAATTAATATGAACCCGTAATTGTTGTGGCCGTGACACCTCTGATCATAATATGCACATTTTTTGAACTGTAGAATACCCTTATACAGAAGAATTAATGTTTCAATAATTTAAACGCACTCACACCAGATTTATACCATGGCCTCACAGAAAACCGGCGTGAAACAACCACAGCGTTATGTTTCGTCGTGTGAGTGAGATTACCGGAGGCCCAATTCCACCCCCCCATCCCTTCCCAATCCTTAAATATCCGAAACCTTTATACCTAATAGGCCAGCAACGCAGTCATTACTCCTTTGGTGTAGCGGGTGTCCATGGGCGGCTTACTTTACTTTACTTCGTATATCAAAATGAAAAAAAAAACCTGCTATTTTTAAGCAAAATTCGAAGCCTTGGTGCAGTCTGTATTCGATTTTTTATAAGGATACTCTTCAATTGCCTCGTTATTTGAGTCCCTTTACTGAGACTAAATATATAAGTACGCGCTGCTTAAAAATTGGGCGTATTGTTAGTATGAAAGACGCTTATTTTTTTCACGAGTTGTTACATTATTATGTAAACACGGATTATTGAGTTGTTCTCAAAATATTAGTCAATGCTGTCTCAGAAATATCAGAACATGCACTGTAGTATTTCTCCCCATAAGTAGTGTAAGAGTTTATAATATTGGACATTTAATTAAAGATAATCGGTCAAGCAACACGTCTCTTATTTGCTCAGACATTAACACAGTAACCTCCATAATTGAATGAAAAAGATATTTAATTGAAATCGAGTATCTCTCGCCTTTGACATGTTTGTTAGACAAGGACAAAGTTTACAATAATATTATTTTACCGCGGCCTTAGTAAAGTATACGTAGTGTAATTGAAAATATACTGGGTACTATAGTACAGCCAAATTGTGTTGTGGTTACATTATAATGACTTGGACCACAAGAGGGTATTGCACTTTGTGGTCGGCTTCTCACTAGACTAGGTACCTGGAATAGTTTTAAGTAGATTGTGTTTTTATTTATGGCATTTGATTAACGAATTAAACGATTCTTTTTTTAATGTACGCTTGTTATTTTTTTATTTAGATGCTGAGGCAGTCTTCGAATACCAATAACATCGTTAATAAAAAAAATACATGTTAAAAAGAGGTTTCATTAAGAAACAAATTACAAAGTTACTATGTATAAGTTATTAAAAACAAGTACTACTGGATAATTAATTAATGCACTTGCGACTGAAAACGTTGCGTGTCCAATGACATCAAATAGTTTAACCAAATAAGTGCAAGTGCATATAGAACGACTGTAAATGTCTTATTAATTGAACACTTTCTTTAACCATTCACATACAATGAAGTAACAAGTATATCAATCGAGGAAGCGGAGGTTTCAATAATTGCGACCAATAAGCTGCAATTAGGCAATTACGCCTATTGTTTAGCTAATTAATTTCATTCATGTTGTCAACTAAGCGGTTAGGTGATATTATTTCACTCCATTACGTGTATAACGGGAACAAATAATTGGTATTCTATAACAGTTTACGTAATTTTATTGCCGCAGGATACAAATCGTTAATCGTTTCTTAATAACCGCACTATTAAATTTAAATCGAGAATCGACTGCGTACTGTCCTATTCGATTAGCATTCATGGCAAAGTGCGAGCTATGGCCGCTATGTCAAGTGCCAGTAGTGCGGGTAATTTGAGTAGTAAGAGGTCAAACACCGTGCTTCACTACATGGAGAACTATTCACAAATATAACGGTACGCAGTGGCTTTGCTAAATGATGATATTAATATTAATTCTTCTTTTAGATTGGTGACAATAAATGTGTAGATGGAATGCGAAACAACTTAACTGATATTTTGAAAGAGAACACCTCCACGAAGGTCGTATCCTACTTAGAGTTTATTGTAGATCATTTGATTAACAATTTAGTGGGTATTATTTAAATGGATGTGACCGAGATTGATTAACGGGCGACTATTGGTCGTGACTTAATGTTGTAAGTTTGCACAATGCCCTACGTCTATTAGGAATGGTATTATCGTGTTACGTAGAGATACAACAAAAAGCTACGCATGAACGGTGCACCGATGTAACGGGCCCGAGTCGGCCGCACTCCGTTATGTCATCAAGTATGTCGAGAGCAGCGTCCGAAGCACCTGGTAGACGACAGAATGCCGGTCACTACACTACTTTACACTACACGCATCACGCTTCATCAACTATTCAGTTACGGTATCCGATAGACCCAATTAATATGCAATTTAGTCAAATTTTTAAAGTATATTATCGTGATCTAGTTAACAGTTAGTTCGTCTTCAATTGCTCTGCCTACATAAATCAGTTACTACAAGGTACCTAAGTTATATAATGATCATACATGAATAAGCTATCCGCACTAAGACATCACGTCTCGCCTCTCTCGTAACAAGTGACACCACCCACTATATTACTGACAATCGGTGACGGACATTCACGAAACCACTCTGATTTTGACCCACAAGATCCTTTCAGTATGATAATATTACATCAATATGTCGTATCGTGCTGGGACTCGATAAATACAAAGATATTCAGGAAGACAGTCGTGACAAACAAAATGTGATAAAAGAATCGTTGCATAACAATGGCCTTTGATCGACGATATGTTTTGACCACATTGGCATGTCAAAATGTTCCAAATGCTCCAGTTTTTAGGGTAATACAAATGAGGTCTCGTATTGTTATGAAATCATAAGTTGTATAAATAAGGAATAAGCATGAATAAGTCAGGTCTTAGATAGAGCATGCGATACGTAACCAAAGCACAAACAATGGGTCGCCTACTCGCTAAGACAATTAAGTTTTAATAATTGTGACCTATGTCGCCACGCATGGCGAATATTACCTGCACCATATTTGGACCGTTTAACTACCGGTTGTGTATTTAATCCCGGGACTGATTCACGACGTGATTATCCTTATCAATGACAGAGACGCGTTCTCGCCTACGCCACTCGTCCGCTCAATTGTTGTACCTTTTTGGAAGTAAGATATTTTCATTGTTAAGTTAACTCATCTTAAATCACATCTGTTTAAGTGTCGAAACGAATAGTTTAAGGTTAGAGTGTGCAGTGTATCAGGGCACTTGTAAAAGCTCTCAACGTACCTGGCGGGTCTAGTGAAGTTTTCGTAATGTGTTGTGTTGTGACGAAGTTTCGCGAGGCACTCGTCGTTCAACAATAATATAGAACGTGAACGTCTGTCCTATTATAGTTGGTGACAACACTAAACACGTGTTAGATTTGTTTATATACTTATACTGGGCTAGACTGCTGGGTTTCCAAAGCTGATTGACAGTGACTCACTTGTTACGCACGAAACTCATATTCACAGGATGTGGAACAATTTATGTATCACCACGGCTGAGTACTGAGCAATGTTCTTGTGATAAGTACCTGTGCGTATTGTTACATAAGTTCCTAAGTACATCTCACGAAAATTAACTATTCATAACAAGCAGACGTGGAAATGAAAGTGGAGCAACATACCTTAGATACTTACATTAAATAATTTTACTATGATTGCAAGCTGTAGCTATAAGTACCTAGGGTAAACTGCTTGTGATAAATATTGTTGAATGAACACAGATTGAATGACTCGTGTCGAAATTGATACATGAAAAAGAATGTTCACAGGGCTGAATCGTGTTGAGGAAAAACTAAAACTGATTGTTTGAGACATTGAGACTAGTGGCAAAGGTCGTTGACCGGCAACGACTTAGCAAATAGTGCGTATCCTGTAAGACTGGGTGACTGTATAGAGGAATGCTGGATGAAGGTCGGAGAAACACGCGTACTGGCCGGGATGAGTAGACGGTGTGTGGGTTACGAGAATTAAGGCAACTACCACACTCATGGGTAAAAGCGTCAGTGCCATTTTAAAACGAAAAGTATTTTTTTTACTGAGTTAGGTACTTACTTGTCTTCTAGAACTGTATGGTAGAATAAGAATGAGGTTATACTCACAACTCAGTAAAATTTAATATTAAGTGAATCCGAAACATCTTTCATATTATTGTGGGCTTCAATATTTATTATTTTCATAACATACAGGGCTTATAGTATGAATAGAATAATGTTAATTATTAAATGTATTGAATTGAATTAGATATTTCATATAAAGTCTTCTGTTTGTATTGTTGAAATAATAAAAGAACGCCAATTGTGTGCACTAAGAACGTCTCCATTGTGCCGCCCGCCTCCGCCGCATTCCTCGACGTTTCCTCTGTCATTCACAAGTTTTTTGTTTATTCCTCAATTTACAATGAGGGATAAAATCTTCATTGAATAATTGCAGTCACGTCGTCATTATATTGTTTTATTTTTCTCTAATGACAGACAGTGAAATTGACGGGATTGCAAGCGAACGTTGAAATTCACATAATTAAATATCAACTGTATTGCAGTGGGCATTTTTACATGTGGGTCGATCAGATCATCTTCACGCATAATTTGCAATTATTATCCTTAATATATTTAGTTGTTTCGTACATGTTCTACTGCTGGCATTTAGATTCTAGTAGCAGTTTCGACAGAAATGTTCCCATGCGTCCGCCAACGGTTATATAATATTTTAGAAGAAGACCGCATCAGACATTTGACCTCACTGAGCAATACCGAGACGTGTTGCACTTACACACGTATGTCTCTGCTTTTAAATCTAACTTTATGGAATAGTAGACTGAACTGACATATTTGCTTATCACACTCAAATCTATGTAAGGATTTTTGGATTTAAGTGAGGCTAAGATGTCGTAAGTAGTTCTTGAAATTTGATTTAGGCGACAAGTCATCATTATGTCACACCTTTTTTGGTTAATGATATTTTTATCTGCCCCAAATTTATAGCACGTAGCTACCATAGCTTACAAACTCATTTATTTTAATAACTGACCAAAGGTTTATTCTCATTATCTTAAATGTTAATAGAGTATTAATGTAATCAAATTTATCTTGTTTGTAATCTATCAACGAACCAAATCCAACGAAGGACTTCATTATGAAAAATGTTGCTTAATTTGTGGTATATAACCAGTAACCTACTGGCTACTGTGTAGCTGTCATCATATATTTTATCAATTCTCGAAACCGCTATTAGAATTGGTTTGGCTCAATCAGATTGTTTTGTATTTCGTCATAGTAGTGGTATGTGGAGAGATGTCCGCGTTTCTTACGTAACTTATGTTTTCTTTTGACAGTTTTGCCCCAAACATTCCTTTTTTACTCCATTTCTACAACAGCAGTGCGGCGAGACGCTTTCGTTGTAAGTTTTAGAAGAAAAATATTTCTGTGTGGAAAGTTTCTTCAGTACAAAAGCAGTAATTGTGTTATTTGTAAATGTCTTTTTTAACTAATCTTTCAAATGTTTTTGTCAATAAGGTGTTAAAGTAAATACAAAGGTATGCTTTGAGTGTTTTCTAAAAACCCAATGTAAGTCCGCGTGACATATGTGCGAAGCGAAACTTAGAAAGCGTAATGTTAAGAATACATGACTATCATGATTCGACAAAATGTGGGAAAATGTCATTCTTCTTAGGATTATACAAAATTTTCTTTTAAAAGTATACCTAATTATTGTTATTTGCCTGTGAACTATTGAGCCATTATTAATTAAGTTATACAATATGGCGAAATGAAGTCAGCGTTATTGGTTAAGTTACAAACAGCAACCGAATCAGATTTATAACTACACTGGGTAGTAATTAAAAGTTTTGTCATTCAATCCTCCGCGTGATGTTCTCAGCTGGCGGAAATCGTTCCCATGACCTTTTGTTTGGTGGCCATACGCTAATCTTTTTATTTACGAGTCAGCGACTTGCCTTCGGTTTACGTCCACATGTACTTATTAAATATCATTTACTGTGGTTTCTAAATAGGTCGAAATGCGCAGATGTCGATTCGTACTTTACATTTGATAAATATGTGACTTAATATCCGGTTTCCGCGTAAAGATTGTATGTAAAAACTCGTATTTTTCGTATAATAAAATTGAATTAAAATTATCGGGTTACATGTGGACTGTGTACAAATCGATTGTAATGTAATAGGTTTAATGCCCTTCAAGTGAGCTAAGATATGGTCTACCGAGGTTATGATTTAGACAGTTTATTAGATCACAACCGCAGACAAGTAAATATCTGTTGAACATTTTATCATCGCTATATTTTGTGCCGTAATTTACGTGTTTGATATTCAGCTGACAGGTAAAGTCGTCAATATCTAATAAGCAATAACTTAGTACATAAAATTAATTTATTAGTTGTGGAAGGAGAGGTCGCCGGTGTCACGGAGAGTTTCACAATCAATCTTTGCAGTTATTATTGCATGTCACCCTTCAAAATGAAAAGTAAGACTTTTTTATTTAGAATTTTTCAAAGCTTTACAGATTAAAAGAAAGTTGCGTGTATTGGTGCTGTTGTAATTCTAAGACCAAACAAGGTATTAAGTATTTCAATTTTAAAACTCTAAAAATTTCGTTTTGTCCATACATCCTTTATAGCTCATTTGACGAAAATTATACCTCCACTTTCTTCATTCTGTGACTTATTAACACGCAGTAAAAATCGTGAACCAAATGCAACTACAGTAAAACACATTCTGTATATCTCATATGCCTATATATCATATACCTTTGAAACTTTCCCTGTGAATCAGAGAAAATTCTTGAATCGTTGTAGCAGTATCTAGATAGGTCTATAGTACATTATCATCTCAACTATTAATCTTTAAAAGCCGTATACACAATGCACTGCATGAATAAAGTTACGATTTTTCAACACTCAGTAGACAACATTAAAAAGAAAACGAATTGAATCGTATCACAAGCTAAATGCGACTGTCGCGCACGTACAAAAAGTAAGAATGCAATAAAAAGACGTAATATGATATAATTAATGTTGTACAATTTGTGTTGTAGGAAACTTCACGGGCGAGCAAACAGCGCGTGCACGCTACGTGATGGTGGAGTCACCACGACTTCCGTGCCCGGTGAGAGCGCAGGACACGATCTCATCGACAAGGGATGACGCGCAAATAGCTGCAACACGCCTCAATCGTATGCAACCAAAACGTGAATGAGTGCACACGTACAAGGGAAAACTAAGCGTTACATCTGAATCTGATTTATAATTCATCTGCAGCTTACAGTACCATACAGCTAAACCTATCTCACAGACGAATCTAGCAGTAATATATGTACTTACATATCCAAAGATAAATCTTGCGAAAAGAATTTTGAAAACCGCAAGTACCCAAGATTATTTATTTTAAGAATGCCATTTAATTAGCCAACGCCAACACCAACTGCTTAATTGTTGACTATAATGACATAATGGCGTAATTTGAGCGACAAATTTAAAAATTTAAAGGAAATTATTGTTTAAGGAAAATTTTGGATAAAATTTTCCGTTAGTTCGTTTTGTCAAACAATGTATAATATAATACCTATCAATCTATATGTATATATCTATATTTCTATAATATCATATTATAAATGCGAAAGTGACTCTGTCTGTCTGTCTTTTCTTCACGCCTAAACTACTAAACCGATTTCTGTGAAATTTGGTACGGACATAATTTGGAACTCGAGAAAGGACATAGGATAGTTGTTATACCAAAAAAAAAAATTTTACAAAATAAAAAAACCGCCTTCAAAAAAAGTCAAGCAATAAAAGTTCCTACACTAAAAAGTAAAAAATAACAATTTGAATTACTGTAAAAAAACTTAGTTTATAGGTAAACTTATTTGACATTAATATTTTGCAAATATTCAAAATTTATTACTTATTTTTGGAGTCGGTGCCAGCATTTTAATGTTGAAACTTAATGTTAGTTAGCTTTTTAATATCCGGTGCCATTTTTCGTACATAATGCTTAAACATTTTCAATGTACTTAAAATGTTTTTGTAAGTATATATTTTTTATTTAAAAAAAATGTGCAAATCGGACATTTTTTGTAGAGAAGTCTAATCTGTATTTATGTCTTAATTAATATACCTATATTTGAGTATGCAAATAGGTATTAAGTAGTTTTATAATTAAGTAAGAGGTAGTTTTTCAAGGGATTGTTGCCCATTTGTATTTCCTTGCATGGGCTGGCACCGACTCCAAAAATAAGTAATAAATTTTGAATATTTGCAAAATATTAATGTCAAATAAGTTTACCTATAAACTAAGTTTTTTTACAGTAATTCAAATTGTTATTTTTTACTTTTTAGTGTAGGAACTTTTATTGCTTGACTTTTTTTGAAGGCGGTTTTTTTATTTTGTAAAATTTTTTTTTATTTGTAGCCGTTTAGTGTTTTTTTTTATTATAATGTGTTATGGCAAAGAAGTCAATATCGTTCCTACATTTCTTTTGAAAAAGTTACCAATGTCATACTTATACGTAGAAATACATATCATAGTACATTGTTACTGTGTAATCGTTTTGATCTCGAGGAGAGATGATATGATGCATGAGATACTTATGACTTATAGTTAAAAAAAAATAATAATCTTATCATAAATTCATATTAGTTCTCGCCAAATAACAAAAAACTAGATATTTTCATCAACAGACAGATAAAGTTCAAAGATACCAAATGCAATCTAATTTAGTATCTATGATTAAATACATTCGTACATAGAAAAAAGACCGATGCAATTATTGTTTTGTATCAATTGTAACCCATTAAATGAAGAATACTATTTTGTTATTACTAAGAACATTCATATATAGACAAGTTGGTAAAAATACAAAAGACCATCGCTATTGTAAATATACATTTATGAGTCATTCAATGTATGAACCTTTTTTAAGTAAGTATTATCTACATATGTGCACACAAAAGAAACACAATTATTGTTTTGTACGACGCAATTATTGTTTTGTAACCCATTTAAAACGACTGTTTTGTTAAAAATGCCAATGAATTCTCTTAGCCTATTACCAGGAAAACGATAAGAACACAATGACGCATTTCACCACTAATGTGTAAACGCAGTCCACGTGGACTAATGCAAAATAGCCAATACTAGGCCAAACTCCGCCCCCAAAGGTGTGCGGTCCCGCTCTAGAACCTTTCGGCCCCATCGGCCATCTGTTCTACGAGCAATGTGCCGTGCCCACTGTCACTTAAGTTTGGCATTTCTTCGGGCTATGTCGGTGACGCTGGTTCTTCTGCGGATTTCTTCATTTCTGATTCGAACATGCACGGAAACTATGAGCATAGCCCTTTCCATTGCTCTTGACAGCTCTAATAAGCTTACACAATACTAGGCCCCATGCCAACCTTCCAGCTTCATCATCACATCAGTTCAATAGTACCTTACAGCCAAAGTGCATCTTATAACAATTCTAACAAGCCCAAACACGGCTAGGATATATTAATTAGGTACGCAGTTCCAGTGCCTACCTTCCAGCTCCATAATCATCATTAAATCAGTTCGATGATAACATTTCCAACATAATTATTTAAGATCATTGGTTTACAGTGCATTTTCATAGTTGCTGAACTACCTTGATTGTGATATCTATGCGAGTGTCAAGTTTCATCACCCATTTCTGATCTTCTTCACCAGTTCCACCCCATCAAATATTACTTTTTGACTGTAAATGCTTGAGTGCTCTATGAAAATATTAAAATTACTATATAGTTGCCTATAATATTTGAGGAGTTCCCTCGATTTCTCATGGATCCCATCATCAAAACTCAATTTTGAAAAGAATGGGACCAATCTGGAAGCATATCCTTTCAATCATAAAAAAAATTTTGCAAATCCGTCCATAAACGACGGAGTTCTGAGGTAACAAACATAAAAAAAAAAAATAAAAAAAAAAAAAAAAAAAAAAATACAATCGAATTGAGAACCTCCTCCTTTTTTTGAAGTCGGTTAAAAATCCGCAGAAAGTCACTATTTCACGCGAACGGTGTCGCGGGCAAACTAGTGTTTTTAATAAGTTTATTTATTATGGGAGGAGATGTTTGTCAAATATAAAGAGACAATGCAACGATATGTGGGGCGTAACACTGTCAGTGGCTATACACAAACAATGGAGAAAGCAGTGCATCAAACGAAATCATCATCTTGAGAACATGAACACAAACGTACGTACAAGACAAACAGACAGCTTAATCACTCTCATTGACAATTTGAATACAGCCCCTAATGATTATCTTAAACAAATGTAGGCTCTCATTGTATTGTTTACAGACTTAATTGAAAATAAGCTTTTCTATACTAATATTATAAAGAGGTAAAATTTGTAAGTTTGTATGTACACTGATGTAATGCAATGCAGCTACAATGTTTCTGAGTGCTATAGGCTATAAAGCATCACGCTACGATTAAATGGAGCCGATCAGCGAGTGAAACCGCGCGAGTGTAGCTAGTAATTAATACAGTAATTAAGAATCTTCTCTCAAGTATTTTGAGACCTTTATGTTTGTGTATAAAAACTCAAACCTTAGTATAGGTATTAAGTTACATATTATGTTATTGCACATAACGATAATATTAATATAGAATATAGAGCAGCACCATGGCTTAAATATTCTTCTGCTTCATTCGAATATCCTAAAAGAAAATAGCCCAGTAAAAATTAATAGTACTATACTCTTAAGATAAGTAACTTGAAAAACAGAGAGGTAAAATATTTGTAGGGAATTTATTACTGACATAAAAAAGGGGCGTTTTAAGGCACATAAAAGCTGGAGAAGCCGTTTTCTTCCAATACATTATCTACTGTTTTTAGTACTTTGTCACAAATTGGACTGACTACTACTGGCGCTTAAGTACAAGAAGGACAATTAGGGTCAAGAAAATGAATTGATCTTTTGATAAGGTGGAAATTTATACTAAATAGTATAGGCTCCGAGCAATTTCAATCCATTCCACGACCACAACTTCTAGCCTGCTGGAGCGAAAGGCCTATCTCATAAGCGATCCGCCATACTACCCATAAAACGTCAATAAAACTTGAATCGTAGAATAAAACGCTTTCATGAGTAGTGTATATCAATGGCATTCCTATGATTCATTCATAGGACGCGGGGCTGCGAGCAGTGGGTGGGTGATGTGCGTACACGCGCGCATCGACTGCAAATCATTGTAGCTCCAAGGGCACAGTATTCCGTCTTATTGTAACCTTCAAGGCCATTTTACATCATGTATATGCATAGATTGACAGATAAATTGCCTATGTTTAGATAGATGGGCCCGTCAAGTGTGAAGATGAAGATTAGGCACGTACAATGGTAAGTGTTAATTTAAAAAAGATGATGTTGGTTAATTTACATTGTTTTTTGACCACTCACGGTTGTATTGTGGTTTTTGGCCAAACATTGTGCGCCCTACTGTGGTCTTGCGTGGCTTTTAACTAGCTTGTTGCTACATTCCACTGGCTTTGGCCGGGTTAACATGCGATGAGATCCGTCTAACCTTATGCACTTGTAGTTTGGTAAAGATGTTCATGGCACGATGAGCCCAGTCCATTTATTGTATATTTGCAGATTGCCTATTGGCATGTCCGCTGCTGCAGATTGTCGTGACGGCGCGTGACGGTGGCGCGGCGCGGGCGCAACGTTGCGCAACAAACAACGCACTCAACCCGCTTTTACTCGCCGCTCGTTTACATGGAACGCGTCAATTACGTAAAATTGTATCAAAAATTGTATTCACGTACCAACTACCGTTGGTTTGTTCTTGCAACGGCTAGTTAACATAACTCTATAGAAATGTCGATGAAATGATTGTTATTTAATTAGTGGTTCTGAATATATGATACAAGTGTAGATATCGGTTATGAAATGCTACATCTCATTGTAAATATTCATTCAGGTCTAATAATAATAGGGTAACACGGTCGGTCATTAAAACAATAATAACATGCTATATCGGTAGTGATATAGCTTCGGATTGTGTAACATTCCTTTTAGGGTTGCATAATATAAGGAGCGTTTTCTATCACACGAGTATTGGGTATCAATATTTGTGTACGCCCCAATTTCTGAAATGGTCTCATTCCTGTTTTGTATCAAATTTC